TTCCTTCCCTTCTCGCGGGCCGTACCTGCACGCCGCACCTACCACCAACGGCGCTGCCTGCCCCGATTGCACCTTTCGGAAAGAAAAGCTCTCGAATGACAGAGCCACAGTGCTACTCTACCAGCCTGCTACTGATAACCTAGCACAGTAGTACTCCAGCACTGTATATTCGGTTTTCGATCCTCGTCGCCACGCCGAGGCTAAATTTCGTGTTTTGACCCTTTTCTGAAACCTATTCAAGATTTGATTTTAATTTGAAAAAATTTCAAGATCTGACCCTTTTGCTACCGTCAGAGACCATGGCGGTAGGATATAACATCCTACCGCCAAGGTCCTTGACGGTAGGGTTGCATGCCCTACCGTCAAAAACCTCCTAAGTATTGAACACAGTGTGTGCTTATGCCTACCGCCAGGCACCTTGGCGGTAGGGTTGTGCAGGCTACCGTCACCCTGGTTGACGGTAGCGATGTTTTCTACCGTTAAAGTTCCTGATGGTAAGCTGTTAGACCCCATCGCCATGTACTCTGGCGGTAGCAAAAGAGTCCGATCTCGAAAAAATTTCAAACTAAGGGGTCAAAACACGGAAATTTGCCCCGCATCCGAGGTGAAACATGCGTTTCCGTCGGCGCGTGCTCGTGACCTACATAAACTTTACCGCCAGTGGCTACTCACCACTACTACTGCTGTGTATCCATGTACCCACGGGTCGTCTTGAATAGCTACAAGAGTACTTGCGGTATTCAGTAGCCACACATGTATCCGTCGTCTTGAATACTTCGAGATACGATGCTGTACCGTCGCAACTCGCAACGCAAGTGGCCGGTCGTCGATCGGGAGCCGTTGGCGTAGAATCTTGGCGGTATAATGGCGACCCTGTACCACGGCAAGCGTATTATCTGGAGTGCTGGTGCCGTAGTGAACTACTACTAGGGATGGTGGAGTCGTATTGATGCCTAGTACACGTGAGCCTGTGACTCATCCATTCCATTCTCGGGGGAGCTACGGATAGTGCCTGCTGCTGCTAATCACTTGTGCGATGATGGTTCCTCCGCGCTGATGATTGATTGGTCAGATCTCGGAGCCGCTACGGCGTCCTTGAATCGTAAGTAAATAAAAAAATCAGAATGGAGTGGGGGTAAAGCTAGCCTTGGAGTAACATGGACTAACATTGATTATTCCCACGGTGGGGGTTGGATCATCGTAATGTGAGCTTCATTAAGCTATGAGTAGTACTAGAGAGGAGATAGACCTCACGAGGGGGGATATAGTGCAGGACTATCACGCAGCCATCAGCACCGAAACCATTTCACAAGGATAACAAAGTTCATTTGTGCGGGGAACCAAGGAATCATATAGGGAATAGTCGGTCTGCCACTACCGAAATTGCATATTCGAATTCTGCCGTTCAAATTTAAATATTTCATTATATGCCCATGTGAGTGCGGGGCCAGCACCGAAGTCCACGCCTCCCCACCCGCAGCAACAACGTCGCCGAGAGAGAGGCGGACATCAAGGCAGAGGACGAGGAGCACGCGTGAAGAGAGGCTGCCACGCGGGTCTATGCTTTGGTTTGCTGGCCGCGGGCTCATGAGAACGCCAAGATGGTGGAGATTGAGGCCCGGGAAGTTGCCGTGGAGGCCACCATGCCTTCACAAGTCACGCCTACATATCGTTTTGTGAGTACATCGATTGGATTGCCGCTGCCACATTGCTCGAGACTCGGTGGGCACTGGGCATCGGATGATGAGAGTGATGCCATGGCACTCACCCGCAACGAATGCGCCAGGCATCAGCATAGAGTTGTTTTAGCCGAGCAGCCGCCGCCACGCTAGAGCTCGGACGCGTAGGGAGCCCACACACTCAACCGTGCAGGGACCCACACCCGATGACCCAACACACTTGTGACAAAGATCGTTTGTCTTTCCTTTTTTTTCAAGTGTGACTCAGACAGGAAGATCACACTTGCTCCCACGTGCCCTTGGAGCTCCAAGAGCTTGAGCACGCCACGACAATTCCAACTTATGAGTTCCATGATTCCCGATCAGCCCCCGGTCCAGAGCAGCAAAATGAGCCAAACAATCGTACATTCAAACCCTAACTCGCATGGAGCAGAGTAGACAGAGAGCAGGGCTGCACGAACCTCAAAGAGAATCGGCCATCACTGCAGGACAGAAAATGGATCGCTGCCGAAGCCAGCTCCTGGACAGAAAGATGATCGCCGTCGAAGTCAGCGTAGGGACAAAAAAACTTGAATATGCTCAAGATCATCACCAGATCCTCCGGTTAGTAGCCAAATTCGAGTTGCACCAGCACCAAGGTAACCGTAGGCAGTAAAGCAACCAGAGAAGCCCTCATGACGTATAAGTAATACCGGAAGAGACAAGGTATGCCAGCGCTGCGGCCAAGAGGCAGACAACAGCCAACAATGCTACATATACGTGTAGGGATAGTACGGGGATCAACGAGAGGCCTACTTGGGGATCTTTTGATTGGATCAAATCAAGTGGAGGGGCCCACCCCGACTGAAATTCGGGGGGAAGGGGGCGCAGAGATTGGTCAGAAGAAGATTCCATAAAGCCCCTGTAAAATGCCCGTGCGTTTAGTATTATTAGACAGCAACGGCCGGCCAAACCTAATTCACCTGCATCTCCATCTTGTGCTAGTAACACTACAAAAAAAAGACACATCTGTGACATTTTGGGCCGAATGAATTTTTTTTCTGTCATACA